GTATAATACTATCCCCCCACTTTATGGATGATTTTTAGGGCTAAATTTCTAGTACTATACATCAATAAATACAGTGTGTGTAAAAATATATAACTTATTGGAACTAAGCTGGAAAAATAAATATGAAGGTTAATTAAATGATAAAACATGAGGTAAAGTTCTCCCTTTTAATTTATTTGGTGCATTTTAAATGTGTTTATTTATTTAAAGGTTCATTTATCTATTTCTGCTTTTATTTCTAATTATGTCAGTGTCGGTCCTCCATACTGCAGAACATGAAGAGGTAGTTCAGTGACTGGATCAGGTGTGTTGGAGCAGAGAAACATGTAAAACATGCAGGACTACGGACCTCCAGGACCAGGATTGCCCACCCCTGCTTTAGTCCTTCAACCAGTTGTGGAAAAATATCAGAATTTAAAAAAATCCCCAAGAGAACAAGAGAGACACATTAGTTATCTATATAGATAAAAAAAAAAAACATGCACAAACACCCCAATAAACTGAGTTTATTTCATAAAGGGCATGAAATAAATTAGGCAGGTACAATACTTGTAACTTCAGTAAGATCTAAACAAAACAAAACAAAACTGTTAGAAAAGTTTGACAAAACAAACCGAGGGGAAAAAAAGAGAGAAAATGATGCAAACGGTAGGAAACTCTCTGAAATGAGAAATAAAAACTGGTTAGTGATGTACATTATTCAACTTAGACTTTTCTCTTTTTACAGAGTTTTTAAACACTTAGTGGCGTGGGTTTGATTTAAAAAAAACCTTTGTCACAAAATAGGGTCCAGTTTTTGTCGTGCAAATTTTCATCTTCAACCTACAGGAGTTGCAAAAAAAGTAGTTTAACTGCTTGAGCCCAAAGAATGAAATAAAGGCTGAAACTCTGAACAAAGCTGTGAAGAATCATCCTCGTGATCAACGGTTCAGTTCAGTTGGAGATCCTGTAGGACTGAAAAAAGCACTGAGGAACGTTATTCCGTTTTTTTTTTGTGTGTGTGTTTTTTTTGTGTTTTTTATCGGGCCATCCAGAAGGGTATGGACTGCTGCTGTGGTGGTTGGGTTCTGGCACGAGTCGGTGGTGGAGGCAGGGAGCGGTGGTTAGGTCTCCAGCATGAAGAAGAGACGGGGGACGCTGCCCTAGATTTACCTTTGCGCGAGGCTTTGGAGGTGTCTTCCTCTTCATCAGAGTCGACGACCGTGTACATCACCAAACCTGTGTTTGGTCTTTTAGCAACCGGTCCTGAAAGAGATAATAATAAAAAAGAAAACGGGGGGAGGAGTAAAGAGAGAAAAACAACAAGTTTCATTTGCAACAAGTCCAGAATTACAAACAGCATGTTGGGAGAAACAAACAGTGATTAGATTCAGATTAATGTCAGCAGAGCGGAGGAGGGGGGTGGGCAGACGTTTGTGTGAGGACCGTCCAATCGAGAGGAAGGACAGCGTCACGGGTCGGATCAAGCCCCGCCCCCGACCGGAATCCAGCATCACCGCCCCCAGAGACACATGGAAGAGAAGATAAACACAGAGAGGAAAACAGAAAAGGAAAAAAAAACAGGAAAGATTCTCGTTAGCAAGGAGAGGAAAACAAACACAAGCCATGCTGATGATGTCATCAGAACGCGACGGCAAGGCGGGCTTGATTTAATCACATGACTGACGAAGACTCGTCAGGTGTCACGTCACATCTGAGGTCACATCTGCCGAGTCTTTCAGGTCATAAAAAGCAAACATTTCAAGCTTTTTTTGTCTAATAAAATCCATGTTTAAAGGGATCCCTGATTAGCTGTAACATTAGACTTTATTTAATAAACATTTATTTTAACTGTAAAATAAAGAGTGTAAAAATACTGTAGGCTGTTTAGTTTTTATAATTTTTAAACTAAAACTTTAAAAATATATTACATGGACGGGGCCATTTTATTTACT